TTATTACATTGGAATGATGCCTTGGTCCCTCTTTAGAAATCAGCCTGGAGGAGAGCTATGAGGCCTTAAAGGTTCTATGCAAAAGACAAATACTCGTACGCGTTTTGTTTTTATCTTTATTGCAACAACATTTTGCTCTTAGATTAATGAAGTCTTAAAGGAGGAAGTTCAAAAGTTGCAGAGGTCTCTTGACAAAGCTTCGAGGGAAAGAGCGTAAGCTTATTCATATTTCGTCTTACTTAACTAAAGTGTATTAATAGACGAATTCTTGCAAAATCATAGAAATTGTAAAAGTAGTCCTCTATGTAATGTAAATGAAGAAAAGTAAGCATTACTACTTCATTTAGTCTTCAGACACCTTCCATCACCCTGTGAAAGCGAATCTAAAAGGCGACGAATTTTCGGCTCTGTGAGTAGTTCTATTTTATGATTTTTGTTTAGGACGAACAAAAGTATGTTCAGACTTCCCAACGTGATGTGGAGTCATTCGAATATGGTTAGCTGACAAATTTGAGACCTAATTCTCATTCCTTTATAAATTATTATTGCCAATGCCGTTGCATACCTTTCAGATTCGAGCAATTTAGAGTCAAGTCACTTGGCGGGATCTAACGAAAAGGTGAAGCTAATAATTTTTTGACCGCAATTATTTTCCGATACTTCAATTCTCTTATGACTTATCTGTGACTGTTTCGTCTAACCTTTGGTAGATTATCCCATTTTATTCAAAGGATTCTGTACCAAGCTGCCAAAGAGCTAAGAGACCTAATTCTGCTTTGCCACTTGGTTTGCCATCACCCAAACCGAATGTCTCTGGTGATGCTGTGGAGAGGGTGGAGAGCAACATTTTCAAGCACAACTCTGACATGATAGCTCACTGTGGTGGTGGAAAACTTGAGGAGAACAGTATAATTGATGAGTCCTCTTCCAGTGTTCAGGACCATACTGATCCCTATCTTGCAGATTGCTACTCCGATCCTCCATTTTCTGCTCCTGGTTCTCCTCCTCCTGTGTCACATAGCTCAGCATTTAAACCTTCATCTCAGAGATCCACTTACGCCCTTCCTTCAGCCAGTTTAGTACATTTATCGTCCCCCGGTTCTAATAGCCTTCGACCGTACGGTCCCCCTCCGATTGCCCCCGTCAATCGTCCAATTTCTTCTGGAGATTTGATTCGTATTCAGGTAAGCTATTTGTCTATTTGAGTTACTCTAGACCCTAAGCGTTCGATTTACTAATATTTTTATACTTTCTTATTAAGCTCCCGCCAACTTGCGCTCAGCTCGGAGCATGCGAACCTGCAACATCTCCTAATCCGCATAGCGGAGGCCAAAACTATTCTGCCAGAACCTGTTCCCGGCTTTTATCGCCTTCTTTTGTCTCTGCGTCAATACCTACTCCATCAGCAATAGTACACCCTACTCTCTGCGATCCAGGTTCTCCTCCCTACACAACAGGTTTATCTATTCCCTCAGTTATCCCTGGTCAGTTAAAGCAACAACGCTTTCTAGTACAACCATCAACCTCCACTTCCCTTTCTCGCCAACGAAAAACTTCTGTCGCAAATCCCTCTATGGTCAGCTTGAACAGCATGCACAGCAAGTATGTCTTGTTAGACTAGCTCCGTCATATGCATCATTTACCCATAATATTTTGTTTCTGCGCCACTATCATTTCGTTATTTTTAGCCTTATCGAAGGTGCAGAATTTTTAACTTAATCTTATAAGACCGCTATTCTGCAACTAATTATCTTTATCCTATTCATCACATCTGAATCAGCTTCAGCATTTGCCTTCTTTTCTTGTTGCTTCAAGTTTTCCGTTACCTTCCATCAGGAAAAGTGGCTATTCCATCTTGGTGATTTCTTTCGTTTCACAATGATTTTGAAAATTGTGCTTTGCTCATCCGGACCGCCCTGTTTTTTGATAACTATATTTTGTCATTAATCTTTGCTCTTGTAATTCGGCTACGAAATAATCGTCCTTTTTGTTGCCCACTAAACTTAATCTTTCTCCATCCACCTCACTAACTAGTGTTAGAAACACATTATGCATATGGATTTTCCTATACTACCATTACTATGGCAATTTTTACTTAAACTCCGCACTTGCTTATTTACTTTGGCCATTTTTACGGCTTGTGTCTGCCACCGAAAGAGCATGGGAGGATCCGTAGTGTATAAAAGATATCAGATTAAAACTATAATAAAGGATGTCGCTAATTTAAGCAACTATTATCGAATGCCACCAAAATGCATGTCGGCATATCTATTATCTGGTTATGCTTAGATGTGCCATGTTCAAGGTAGGAATTTTAGGTAACCTTTGCGTAATTTGCAATTGCATCCAATCCCATTTTACTATCTTTTATTACTAATCGATACGAGTTCACAATCAATGCGCTTTTCATCCTCCCATAC